TATATTAATTGTGGGGTTGCTCCACAGTATTAATATATTAGAAGCCCTTATCCGATTCTCCTTAGGGTCCCTACTGTAGCTCTATATATACAGCATTAGGCTCATGGAAGAAGAGAACAATCCCACATCCTTGGAAATCGTCCAGCTCTTTTTCTCTCTCTTCTAAGGAGTAGTTCTATTTCTTGTGCTCCACTGATACAAGATCTAGAAAGCTGTTTGAGAATACAGTAGAAGATCTTAAGGTATATAGAGATTCCGATCATACATCCAAACTGGAGACCAAAACCAGCAAGTGACCATACCACGACGACCGGGACGACGAGACGAAGAGATCGCCGTCGAGATCGCCGCCGCCGCACGCGCCGCCACGCGCCGCCGGAAGGGAGCAGCTGCCGAAGATTACGCGCGCGCGTGAGAGAGCGTGGAAGGTCCTTTTTCCGATCGGTCAACGCCGTTGACTTCGCCGTGATGTCAACTTTCAGGATTGGTCAAGTTTGTTCGATTTCGAGAAGATTTGATTTGCGGTCAACTGTCCGGGCCAGCCAGATCTACATAAATTTTAAGCAGTAAGTTTTCTTCATCAAACCTTTAGATCCGCTGCGCATAGGTTTATGTTGAATGTTTGTCTGTGATTTGTGCATATCGAGATCCTCGTGGGTTCCAGCAGGAGTTACTTCAATGACCAGCACATCTTCGTCGGGTAACTCATCAGAAAGTTCCCATTCAGCAGGGATTGGGTGATCAGCCAAGAAGTCTGCTAATATTTGACCTTTTACAGCCTTTTGAGGGACATAGATGATCTCAAATTGCTGCAATTGAAGGTACCACCTTGTAATTCTATCCGAAAGTACCGGCCTCCTCATAACATACTTAAGCGGGTTGGCTTTTGAGACGAGACGAACTGTATGAGCTTGAAAGTAATGCTTTAACTTTTGGATTGCAAAGATTAACGCAAGACATATCTTCTCGATGGGTGAGTAGTTCAATTCGTTTGGCGTCATCATTCTACTAAGGTAATATAAAGCACTTTCTTTCCCATCATCGTTCTCTTGAGCCAACAAAGCCCCAACGGAACGTTCTTGAGCGGCTATGTAAAGAATCAACGGATGACTGGGCACAGGGACAACTAGCACGGGAGGCTTCATCAAATACGCCTTTATGCTTTTAAAAGCATTCTTGCAAGACTTATCCCATTCAAATGGAACACCTTTCTTCATAAGACGGCTGAACGGTTGACAACGGCCGGCTAAATTTGATATGAATCTTCAAAGGTACGCCAGTTTTCCTTGTAAGCTTTTGAGTTCATGAATATCACGAGGTTCGGGGATTCTCAATATAGCATCAATCTTCGCTTGCTCGATCTCTATCCCTCGATGACGGACAATGAACCCAAGACATTTTCCAGACTTGACGCCAAACGCACACTTGAGTGGATTCATCTTGAGTTGATATCTCCTTAACCGTTCGAAAACCCTTTTCAAATCTTCAAGGTGATCTTCTCGCTTTCTTGACTTCGCAACCACATCATCAACATACCATGCTTTTGTGAAGCATATCATCAAAAATCCTTTGCATAGCCCGTTGATATGTGGCCCCAGCGTTTTTCAAACCAAATGGCATCACCTTGTAACAGTATATCCCTTTTGGCGTACGAAATGCGGTCAATTCCTCGTCTCTAGGTGACATGCGTATTTGGTTGTACCCGGACGACCCATCCATGAAAGACAACGCCTCGTGGCCCATAGTTGCATCAATCATGAGTTCAGTAATGGGCAATGGAAAATCGTCTTTTGGGCATGCTTCATTTAAATCTCGAAAGTCGACGCAAACTCTAACTTGACCATTCTTCTTTCTCACAGGAACAATGCTTGAGATCCATGTAGGATACTTGACTTCTCGAATGAACCCGACCTCGATGAGCTTGTTTACTTCAACTTCAATCAATGGAACCAAATCGGGCCGGAAGCGTCGTTGAGCTTGCTTAACAGGTCGTGCCCCCGTTCTCACGGACAAATTGTGCACTGCCACTTTCGGATCTAACCCAGGCATTTCTTTGTATGACCAAGCGAACACATATTTATATTCACGATGCAGCTCGATATAACCTCCTCCTCATCACTAGTCAAAAGGGCGCTGATATAAGTTGGCCGAGGATTTTCCATGTCTCCTAAGTTGATCTCTTTTAGCTTATCAACCGTAGCCTCAACTCCTTCTTCAAGCTCAGCAGGGGCATCCTCAGCGTCTTCTTCATTTTCTTGGGTATCTTCACATATGGTGATATGGTTTACATATGCTACATCTTCAGCAGGGCTATCAAGACTGTTGAAATCAACACATGTTCTAACTCGTCCGTCCCTTCTTACAACACGAGGCAAATGCAAAGTGGTATTGCTTTTATTAATGAACCCTTTCCTCACCAATGCAACGATTGTT